ACCTCCGTCGACGATCAAGAATCAGGGACTCTGTCTTGTTTGCCAAGGCGTCAAAAATCAGATGGGCTGGACATGTAATGAGATTTAGAGATGACCGTTGGACTAGAGCCGTTACTGACTGGATTCCACGGGACATCAAAAGACCACATGGCCGCCCACCTACCAGATGGTAAGACTTCTTCGTCAAGATCATGAACGATCGGTTTGAAGCTCTTCGTGTTCCTAGAACAGACGCCATTGGGCTACACCAGCACGCAACAGGGACAAATGGAGACGTTACTGGCGCCCGCTCAAGCAAATCGACGATTAATGGGAAGTCAAGTTATTTTTAAAAAGTAATGAACGATAGCACAGTGGGTAAGGCATTTGCCTTGCACATGGCTGACCTGGGTTTGATTCCTCCGCCCCTCTCTGAGAGCCCGTCACGCTACCGAGAGTATCTCGCCTGTGCGGCAAAGCCTGGCAAGCTACTCATGTATTCGATATGCCAAACACAGCTACGACAAGTCTCACAATGGAGATGTTACTGGGCCCACTTGAGCAAGTCGATGAACAATGGGAGGACAGTGTAGTACAGCGCAGTGCAGTGCTCCTACATTATAAAAAAAAATTATCGATTTTTTGGTTTTTGTCCATACCCAATGGTACTCAAGATTTACTCCTGGCTCTGTAGTCATGTAGTCAGAGATCAGGGATCATTCCTGGTGGGGCATGGGGGATCATATGGGATGCTGGGAATTGATCCTGATCCATTTTCTAATGAGGTTATTGGACTTTTTGTTGTTGAGTTTGGTGAGTGATTTATAGATTTTTGTATATTGGTACTTATTGAATGCAAATATTTCCTTCCACTCAGTAGGTTGTCTTTTTAATTTTATTTTGAGTTTCTTTTGCTGTACAGAAGTTTTATAATTTGACGTAGTCCCATTGTTTAGCTTTGGTGGTTTTTTTAACTTTTATTAGTAAAACACCATGAGGTACAGTTTGTACCTTAAAGTTTGTAGACTTACAAACTTTTGTGCTTGGGTTTCAGTTATACAATGATTGAGTGCCCATCCCTCCACCAGTGCCCATTCTCCACCACCAATGATCCCAGTATCCCTCCCACCACCCCATCCCATCCCCCTCCACCCCACCCCTGCTCTATGGCAGGGCATTCCCTTTTGCTCTCTTTCCTTTAGGGTGTTGTGGTTTGCAATAGAAGTATTGAGTGGCCATCATGTTTGGTCTATAGTCTATTTCAGCACTACTTTCAACACGCATCTTCCATCCCAAGCGGATCCTCCAAACATCCTTTACTTGGTGTTCCCTTCTCTATCTGAGCTGCTTTTTCCCCCAGCATGTGCTGCCAGCTTCCAAGCCATGGAGCAAACCTCCTGGTACTTATCTCAACTATTCTTGGGTGTTCATCTCCCATTCTGTGCTCATTCTACAGATGAGTGCAATCTTTCTATGTCTATCCCTCTTTCTGACTCATTTCACTTAGCATGTTACTTTCCATGTAGAACCACTTGTATACAAATTTTATGACTTCATCTTTTCTAATGGCTGCATAGTATTCCATTGTGTAGATGTACCAAAGTTTTTTAACCAGTACTCTGTTCTCTGGCGCTCGGATTTTTTCCAGATTTTGGCTATTGTAAACAATGCAACAGTGAACATACAAGTGCAGATGTCGTTTCGACTATACTTTTTTGACTCTCCAGGATATTGCCTTTGCCTCTGTGGTCATCTCATTGAAGACATGTTTGCAGTCAATTTTCCCCGTCCCATGATAATGTCCAGTTTGTCCATTCGCAGCCTCTCATCACCTCCACGGGGATCCATACTCTCCCCCAGTGCCATATGCTATGTGCCTGTCTGTGTCCCCCAGGGGACCCCAGAAGAGTCGTGGGGTCTATCTGTTGTTTTCACAAGAAGCACAGTGCACAGGAGTGTGCTTTCCTCGCCAGGGCAGTCAAAATACATTTCTGGTAAATAAGAAAGGTGACTGTTCTAGTGAATGCAGGGTTAGCTGGTGTTTGGAGGGTTTGGGAGAAAGTGGGCATCACAGACAGGAGTCTTCTCTGAGGAGGGACTTTTTATTGCTCTTTTAGGAGTAGGTCCATTTCTTACAGTGGAAAAGAGCCTGGGGCCAATGGATCAGTATATTCAAAGGCCCTGAGGCCAGCAGTATAGGGTGCTGCTTCAAGGACTGAGAGACTGCTGAACATTCCTCCTGGCCTCAGCAAAAACTGCTGAGGGCCCCAACTGGATCCAGAGCCCCAGATGCCCCCTGGGATCCTGGACAGTTCCAAGCTCTGTCCTTTCCCCACACCAGACATTCCCTCACCACAAGGTCCATTGTTGGCTTCCTGTTCCTGGTGTGCAAATTGCACTAGAATTTCTTGCTATCTGGGGCTTCCTGACAAGGGGCAACCTCCACCACCGCATCCCAGTTAGTCTCTCTTCTGCTGCAAGCAAGAAACAAATGCACAACTCAGAAAACAATCCATCATTCTGTCACAGCATTTCCATTTCAAAGACTTCCTCTCCAAGCTTCTCTCCACCGCTGAAGCTTCCTCTCATTACCAGGAGAACTGGCAAGAAAATGAATGGCTAATGAGGAAAGGAAGAGCCCAAGGATTTGGGCCTGAGGCCTCTGCCTACAGCTACAGGGACAGGCACTGGTAGAAGACTCTGTGTGTGTGTGTGTGTGTGTGTGTGTGTGTGTGTGTGTGTGTGTGTGTGTGTTTATGTATACATGAGCATGTGTGAGAATGTTTTGTCAGTGTATGAGTGTGTGAGTCTATGTGATGGACATATGAGTGAGTGACTGTGTGAGATTGCAGATTGTGTGAGAGTGTATGAGTGTGTGAGAATGAGACTGTGTGAGAGTGTGTGTGCGAGTATGAGTGCGTGTGTGAAACTGAGACTATGAGAGTGTATGTGAGTGTATGAGCATGTGAGGGTTTGTATGCATGAGTGAGTGTTTGGTATATATGTGTAAGTAGATGAGTGTGTGTGAGTAAATCAGTGTGTGAGAGTGAGTGTGAGTGAGTGTGTGTCAGTGTATGTGTGTGTGTTTGTATGAGTGAATGTGTGAAATTGAGCCTGTGTGAGTATGAGTATGTGAGAGTGTCTGTGTTGTGTATGTGTGTGAGTATATAGAGCGTGTGTGAGTGTATGAGTGTGTTGGATTGATGTTGTGTGAGTGTATGAGTGAATGTGTGAGACTGAGACTCTGAGAATGTGTGTGAGAGTGTATGTGTGTGAGTATATGAGCGTGTGTGTGAGTGTGTGAGAGAGTTTGTGAGACCTAGAATATGTGAGATTGTGTTTGCATGTGTGTCTGTTTGCTTGTGCACATGCGTGCAGAATACATTGTTTTAGTCAGAGATTTGCCACTCACTGACCAGAGAAGCCCCTTTGGGCACTTGCTCAGCCTGCAGGAGGCACAAGACTCCCTCTGGAGAGAAGATTCCAAGAGAAGAGCAGGTGCTCCAGGGACAGCAGCGGAAGTGACCCACCAGGACAAGTTCTGCACTGCTGTGAAGATGCCACTGAAGGGGTGGGAGGATAGTACAGTGGGCAGGGCCCTGGCCTAACCCAGCCTGCTGGGAGGCAGCTAGGTTTGAAAGAAACCCAGTTGCTGACAAAGGGGTGAGGCCAAGAGAAATGTCAGGAGGGAAGGGAGGCTGCCCAGCTCCCAGGACCCTCAGGAGGGGCCCCATGTCCACATGGCCCAGAGAGGGTCCTGCAGCAAAGGTGGGCACATCACGTCCCCAAAGGGGACAATCGTCTGCTGGAGCTTTCTCACCATCACCAGCCCAGGCCCACATATTTAAAATTTTATTTGCTAAGTACAGACCTTTCAGATACAACAGCTTTGTGAGCCTGTTTGGCATTTTACTTTTTAATCTACAAGAAGCCTAAAAATAATGAATGTGACCCAGTTCTGTCTCATTCTTGGCAAACAGGCAGTCACTGGTCTTAGAGGAAAAAAGGAGAAAACTCAGAGCCAGGACTGACTCCCAGGCAACAGCCCCCACACCCTCCTCTTGCCCCACTCACACACACACACTTCCCCTTCCCTGCCAGGGTCTCTGGGTACCCCTGCGGGCAGCACGGTCCCTGCCCTGCATTCTCATGGGGGAAAGATGCCAAGAGAAGCCCTGGGAAGGGCCTGCCCAGCCCCGGGCCTGAGGATCCTCCTTCCACACAGCCTCATCTGTGATGGGCAGATGCTGGCATCCTGCCGCTCCCCAAAACCCCCTGTGACAGGGAGAGCCAGTGTTGGGGTGAGGTGGAGCCAGGGATGGCAAAGTACCACCCCAGTCCAAGGCCCCAGAGTGGCCAGCTGCTGCCCATCACAGACATAAGTCTCCATCTAGGATGCAGGAGCTGTTCTCTGCCATTAGGCAGACCCGTGCTGAGAGGTGCCAGGGCTAGGGGAGCACAACTTTGTGTGTATGTGGAGGGGTATCACCCAGCAATGGGGGACATCCTTGTTCCCACCCTCTGCCATGTGTTCTCACCTCCTTGGGTCAGTCCCTCTGGGTGCACATGAGCTTATGCCCCCTTAGCCTCTGTGAGTCCCTTAGGGCATCCATGCCAGCCTGGGCTGAAGACCAGTGGGTGAGGGCCAGTGGGATGAGGGTGGAGGGGCCATTGGGGATGGTTCTGCCCCCAAGGAGACAGCACCCCAACCTCGGCCCACCAGCACTGCAGGCCACATCCTAGAGGGTCTGCCCTCCATGCAGCACCCCTGACTACGGCGCCCACTGCAGGTGGGGGCATCCTGTGACCGATGGCACCCCTTGCCCAGAAAGAGCTCAAAGCCCAACAGGAAGGCCGTGTCTTGGTGGTACCTGATCTGAGTTCTCAACGGCCAATTCCCTTCAGCAAGTCCATGCCCTCCCCTCACTCCTGCCTGCCCCCAGAAACACACAACACCAGAACTTGCAGAGATGCGGTATTTATTGAGGACCCTCTGTGAGGAACCGCGATTGGCCGTGCCTTTACACAGCCTTGGCCAGCCCCAGGCGGTTGTTGGCCCTGTCGAAGACACTGAAGTACTCTCGGATGAAGACATCCCCCAGGATCCACTGGTCAGAGTCGGTCTCACCCTGGAAACCGCTGGTGCAGACGCCCTGGTCCTGGGGATGGTGAGGCCGGGATGAGTCACAAGCACCTCCCTCTCCCCTTGCCTCTCATTTCCTCCTCCATCCTGAAACCCTTGCCCAGCTGCACACAAGCATCGGTGTGTCTCCCGCAGCCAGGAAAGACAGAGACAGTGGGAAAATAAAGCCGCTTCATTCAAGACAGCCTAGTGGGATCCTCTGCAGAGCCCTAGCCGCCGCCGCCTCCTCCTCCTCCTCCTCCTCCTCCTCCTCCTCCTCCTCCTCCTCCTCCTCTTCCAACCCCTCCTCCTCCTCCCTCTCCTCCTCCCTCTCTTCCACCTCTTCCTCCTCCTCCTCCTCCTCCTCCTGCCCCCTTCCTACCCCTTTCCTCCTCCTCCTCCTCCTCCTCCTCCTCCTCTTCCTCCTCTTCCTCCTCCTCCTCCTCCTCCTTCTCCTCCTCCTCCTCCTGTCACCCACTTCCCTGATGACCCCAAAGAACCCGCCATCTGAGGCCTGAGGCCTCAGTTTTGGGTTCCTGGGGTTAGGACAAAGCCAAGGCCAGAGGTCAAGGCTGAGGGCAGAGGGTTTGTGGGGACAGCACATCCTACTCAGAAGGTCCCAGGGGTCTCATGTTCTGGTCATGTCTGAGCCTGCCCTCACCGACAGCAGATGGGGGAGGTGAGCCCAGGCCCCTCTAGAGACTGACCTCGCTGGTGTAGGCCGAGGGGGGCAGCGGGTACTTCTTGCCGTTGATCTCGAAGACCACCGAGGGCATTTTGCTCAGGTTCCCACAGTTGATGTCGAACTACAGGACAGAGAGCGTGAGAAAAAAAGGGTGGTCTCGGTGTGTTGTCCCCCCCACCCACAGAGAGCCAGGGGAGATGTGGCGTCATGGAGGAATCGGGAATGGGGACCATCACAGGCCCAGGACTCAGGGACCCCGGAAGCTCCAACAAGGAACAGTGATGGGCTGGAGTCTAAGACCCCCAGGTCCTGGAGGTTCTGGGGGCAGCCCAGCTCACCTCGCCGTACTGGCCCTGGGTGGCTCCGATGACCGACTGGATGTTGAGGATGTCGTTGCTGGGTCCCACCAGCATGGAGGTGCCGGTGTCCAGGATGGCCTGGCAGCCGCCCTCACAGGCCACGACCACACCGTCCACGGTGACGCTGCAGGAGGTATGGGGGGGGGGGGGGGGAACACTCATGTTGCAGCCTCCTGCTCTCCTCCCTGACCCGCTCCCCCTGCACCCACTCCCCTGGGCATCTCTCTGGGCCATCCCAGAAGCCATTCCCCCTTACTCTGTGACTGGCCCTGCCCAGGAGACCACGGGCACAGGGGGCTGGAGGCACAATGAGGGGGCTGGAGCCTGGGGTCAGGCTCCTCCTGCACAGTAGAGCCTGGCCTCAGTTCTCACAGGTCACCCCTCTGGCCGCTCTGGGACTCGGCATTCGTGAGCCAGGCACATTGCAGCGGGGACGAGATTAGGACCCGAGAGTTCAGAGTTAGGAGACAGGGCAGCCCTGCGCAGGCTCATGGAAGAATGGACAAGGAGGTCTGAGGTCGGTCCCTCTCGGGGCACTGGCTGGTCACCCACCTGTCCAGGGTGAACTGCCAGTACTGCTGCACGGTGACGGGGACCCAGTGCAGGGTGCCGGTGTAGTGGGAGTGGTCGATGGCACCCAGAGTGAGCATGCTGCCCGGGCCGTTCCTGGAAGCAGGACAAAAGGTTTGTGGGGACCTGCTCGGCACAGTGAGTAGCACAAAACCCCTCCTGTCCCCGCAGCCCCTCCTCCACCCCCACTTCCAGGACCCCTGATTCCCCAGCCCCTTCTGCGCTTGCTCCTCCATCAGCTTGCGCACGGCCATCAGGTTCAGCACGAGCTGCGCCCTCGCTCCCGACCCTCACCCCACCTCACTGGGGAGACGCTTCACAGCCTCGGCTGAGCCCCCTCACCCGCTGGGCTGCAGCCCTGCCCCCCCAGGGCACACGGATGGCACTTGTTAAACTGCAACTCTGTGTGCATGTGTGCGTGTGTGAGTGTGAGAGTATGAGAGTGTGGGAGTAGGAGAGTGTATGAGTGTGAGTGTGTGTGTGGTATATATGTGTGTGTGAGTGTGTGTGGTATACGTGCATGTGTGTTTTGTGTGGTGTGTGTGGTATATATGTATGTGTGTGGAATGTGTGTAAGTATGTGTGTTTGGTGTGTGAGTGTGTGTGGTATATGTGTGTGAGAATGTGTATTTGGTATTTGTGTGAGTGTGCGAGCATGTGTGGGATATATGTGTGTGAGTGTGTGTGTGTTGTATATGTGTGTGAGCGTATATGTGGTATATGTGTGAGTGTGTGTGGTATGAGTGTATGTGGTATGTGTGTGTGTGTGTGTGCGTGTGTGTGGCTCACAGTTCCCACTGCCCTGCACTGTGGAGTGCTAAAACACGCCTCCAGATTCTCCTTGTCTGTTGATGGACCATCTCTGAGTGCACCCCTGCCACTTGGGGTCAAACCTCCACAACATAAACGAATGAACGAACCAATCCACTGATCTGCCCTTGCCCAGTCTCTCCCTCACCAGCCCCCAGTGCCTCCCCCTGTCCTGTCACGCCCCCCTCTGTCACCCTCACAGGAGCAGGTAGAGACCTGAGGACGGTCACTGCAGTGAAGGAGGTGGAAGGTCTCTGCAGAGACAAGGCCGGATGGGGGCCATCGGCAGCCCAGTGACTGCTGGGGATCGGGGTGGGGGGTGGGGGTGCTCTGATGTGCCAAGAAAGCAGCAGCAGTGGGTGGGGGTGCAGGACTCCCCAGAGTCCTCCCGGGCTCTCCAACCGGGCGCCTACCTGCTCATGTACACAGAGAACAGGTCTTGGGCCACCAGGTGCTTGTCCATCATGTTGTCAAACACGGGCACAGAGTACTCAGAGGCCAGGGACGGGTAGGCCAGGCCCAGGATGCCATCGAACTCGGAGTAGGTGAAGACGTCTCCGGGCTCCACGGTGCTCAGGCCCACGGTCTGGTGGGTGTCCACGATGTTGGAGACCTGCATGAAGAGCCCGGGTCAGAGGCCGGCGGGGACAGCCAGTAACTGTCCCTGTCTGGGCGGGCGGAGGGCGCAGATTCCAGGCTCCTGCTGTAGGAGCTGGGGCACACCCAACCAGCCAAAGCAGGAGCCAAGGAAGGGTGGCAGGTGGGGAGAGTCTGGGGCTCAGGAAACAAGCATGCTGGGCTGAGTGGCTCGGAGCTGGAGCACACGCCTTGCACGGGGCAGCCCTGGGCTGGGTCCTAGCACCACCAGGAAGATTTGGGTTTAACTGAAAAAAACAACAACATTGGATGGACTCAAGGAAGAACCACAGGACAGTGAAGGGGTGGGAGGGAGGAGATATCACCTAGACCTGCTGCCCCCTCAGATGGCCCCTGGGCTCCCAGGGTGGGTGGGGCTCCCAACACCACCACAGGTAAGTGGGCTTATTTGAAAGAAGCTGCGACCACCAGGAATCTCGGGGTCTGGCCACTACAGGGTCTGGCACACTGTTGGGAGGAGGTGAGGGGAGGGGGGATTATCCACTTAAAATGCTGCCCTGGGGCCCTTCCACCAGGGGTTCCTCTGCCTCTATCTCACTCCTCTCAGCTACTGGCACCCCTTGACACAGCCCGTGTCAGCATCAGAGAAGCCCCCCCACCCCCACCCCAGTAATCACACCGCTAGGGTGTCCCCGGCAGCCACATGGGGCCCCAGCGTCAGGCACTCACAGTGACGGTGTCGTAGCCCAGGATGCCCTGCATGCTGCCGGTGCCATAAGCGATGGACAGGGGCTTGTGCATGTTCTGGAAGGTGGAGGACTTGGCGGGGTTGAAGCGGTGGTGGTTCTCTGGAATAGAGGGGAGGATGAGGCAGCCGTGAACGCCTCTTGGCCCGGACAGCTCCCACGGGGGCTAAAACCACCCAGGCCTCCCAGATCGTGGCCCAGTGCCACAGAGAATCCACGTCCTGTTCACACTTCCTCATAGTGGACAGACACCAAAAAAACACAGTTGGTACTGCCCCACCCACCTCTCTGATCCCAACCCGAGACAGAGAGAGAGACAGAGACAGAGACAGAGACAGAGAGGTAGAGACAGACAGAGACAGAGACGGACAGAGATGGACAGAGACAGACAGAGACAGAGACAGAGACAGAGACAGAGACAGAGTGGGGGAGCATCCCTGGTGGGTTCTAGGATACTTTACCTCCACCAGCTGAGTAATAACAGGCAGCCCCTCCCCTCTGTGCCCTGAACCCATGGCTTCTGTGGCTGATAAATGAATTAAAAAAAAAAACGCCCGGACCCGTGGAGCTGGCTTGAAGGACTGGAGCAGGCCTGAAGGAGGCCTGGGTTCGACTGCCCAGCCCCACATGGTCCCCCTAGCAATGCCAGAAACAAGTCCCAAACTACAAGCCAGGAGTGGCCACTGGACAGAGATGTGATCTCCAAACCAAAACAAGACAAAAAAGAACAAAAAGAGTGACCAGTTCCAGGGAGAGTGCTGAGGGGACCTGAGTGCATGTGGGAGGTTCTGAGTTTGATCCCCAGCATTGCACCAGTCCATCACCCTCCCCCCGCCCACACACACACTCCAACACTGCAGATATAACCCTGATGGCCTCCAGCACTGCCGGGAGCCCCCCAGAAAGGAAAAAAAGAGCATCCACCTCTGGGAATTGCTGGAAAAGTGAGAGACTGGTGTGTATTAAATGTCCCTTAGGGCTGGAGAGTGAGGTCAGCCAGTAGGGCATTTGCCTTGCACACGCCCAACCCTGATTCCATCCCCGCCATCCCACAAGGTCCCCTGAGTAATTCCTGAGTGCAGAGCCAGGAGTAACCCCCGAGCATTGTCAGGTATGATCCAAAAGCAAAACCAAGCAAACAAAAAACGCCGCCTCTTCATCCATCACAGGTTTTCTCTCTTTTTCCCAACACAGCCAGAGCCCCCACTTGTAGAAAGGAAAAATGAGCCCCCAGGAAGGGGGACGAGCCACTGTCATGGCCTGCAGAGGTGCCCTGCTCCATGCTGCTGGTCTCTCACTCGTGATTCTCCACCTCCCTGAGAGTGTGCCTCAGGGTTGAGAGTCAAAGCTTCTCCCCTGCCCGCCCACACCCAGCTTCCCCGAGGGCCCTGGTGTGTGTGTGTGGGGGGGGGGGGGGACAGCAACTCACGGCAGGCATCACTCTGGCAGTAGACGGAGGGCACCCAGAGGTCAGAAGAGCCAGTGTCGAACACCACAGTGAACTCCTGGGGTGGGGTCCCGATCTGGATCTTGCCGAAGTACTGACACTGAGGGCAGACGACAAGGGTCAGGGCAGGTAGGCAGTGGGAAGCCCAGGCCCAGAGCCAGCGCGGTGTTGGGGGGGAGGTTTATGCTCTGGGCAGGGGCTTCATCTCCAGCCCCCCACATGGGACCCCTTCCCACAAGCCAACCATCACTGCTGGGCTCAGCCCAGAAGCAGCTCTGGCAACAGCACTCGACCGGGACAGTGTTGGGATGCCCACCTAAGCCCCAGCTGCCCTGCATCCTCTCCGTGCCGGTCCTGCCAGGTCCATGCTGGGGCAGGTGTATGGGGATAAGAAGTACTGAACAGGGACTGGGGCTATAGTACAGCATTTCATTTGGTTCCCCAAGCACTGCCAGGAGAGTAATTCCTGAGTCCAAAGTCAAGAGTAACCCCTGTGCGGGGATTGCCCTGCCACAGAGACAGGGGGGGATGGGGGGATGGGGGTGGGAGGGATATTATCCATGGTGGTGAAAAATGGGCACTGGTGGAGGGATGGGTATCTGATCATTGTATAATTGAAACCCAAGCACAAAAAATTGTAAATCTACAACTGTAAAAAAAAAGAATAATAAAGGGGAAAAAAATGAAAAAAAAAAAAGAGTAACCCCTGTGCATCACTGGTGTGACCCAAAAAGGAAAAAAAAAAAGAATTGAGCACAGGGGCGGGGGTTGGGAGGCAGACAGGCTAGCTGGCCCCCAAAAAGGAAAAAAGAGCATCCATCTCTGGTCATTGCTGGAAAAGTGAGAGAGTGGTGTGTATTAAATGTCCCTTACGGCTGGAGAGTGGGGTCAGCTAGTAGGGCGTTTGCCTTGCACACGGTCAACCCTGGTCCCATCCCCGCCATCTCATATGGTCCCCTGAGCACTGCCAGGAGTAATTCCTGAGGAACTACTGAGGGAGGGAAACGGGTCCCTGAGAGGAGGCCTGCACAATCCTGCCTTGTGCGGGCCCTCGAGCCGCCCACCCTTCTGAGCCCAGTCTCGGAGGAGTTCAGGGTTGGCTGGAGTAGGCTGGAGCTGATTCTCTGCAGAAAGGGCACCTGGGCAGCCCACACGTACACACAGTGAGGCGAGGTGAGACTCAGGGACACTCACGTCCAGGAAGTTGGTCAGGGGCTCACTGGCCACCTCCCCGAAATTGGAGAACTTCCTGTTGGTCTTGTGCTTCATCAGAAACTCGTCCAGAAGCCCGTGCTCCTTCAGGGACTTGCGCAGAGACTTGCCTCTGTGCAGAGGGATCCTGGGGACACGAATGGGGAGCTTAGCCCCTGAGCCGGGAGGCCAGGCCTCCAGACAAACCACTCTCCCACCTTTTTACCATTACCCAAACCAAACCACACATTCCAGTTGACAAATCTATGCCCCCTTTTTTAGCAGTGACCCACACTGATACGTCTTGTTCCTTTCCATGTCTTCCTACCAGAGACCCAATAGTTGCATTTTGTTTCGTGTGTCGGACAGGTTGGATTCTGTCGGGAGCCATACCCAACAGGGCTCAGGGATTACTTGAGCATCTTGCTCAGGGTGAGTCGGAGATCAAATCTGGACCCCAAGGGCTGGAGAGGTAGTACAGGAGCTATGCACTCGCCTTGCATACAGCAGACCCCTGATGGGTCCCTGGCACCACCACGTACATGGGCACCTGAGCCCCGCCAGGAGTAATCCCTGCGCCCAGAGCCAGGAATAAGTCCTGAGCACAGCTGGGTTTGGCCCAAAATAAAAATAAATAAAAAGGCCAGCCCCCCTGCCTGCATAGAATGTGCCCTGGCCCTTCAACCATCTCCTGTGCCCCTCGGCTATGTTCTAGAAGTCACACACTATTACCAAGCAGGTTCTCTGCATGTGGCAGGAAGCTACAGTGCTAGTCACTGTCTGGGCACAGGAGTGAGTGGGAGAAAGATGCCTAGGCTCTGTGGAGGGCGCGGAGTCCCCACCCTCCGGTGAGTTCTCTAACCGCATCCTATCATGACCAGCCTGGTTCTCTGGTCCTGGGCATATGGAGTACTCTAGAGGGTTTCAATCCAGAGCCTGGAGTGCAGGCAGAAACACAGACTAGTTGGAGGGACGTGGGCGGTGCTGGTTGCAGGACCCTCTCCTCCCTGCCTGTGACCACCCAGAGGCCAGGCCTCTCGTACGTCAGTGTCCTGTCCTATGGGCTGAAGGGTGGATTGGGAGTGAGGGACGGTGACCCTGCCAGCTCTGAGAGTGCTGGGGTCCACGGAGGACAGTGAAGATGGCAAGCGTGGAATTTCATGCCATGACTGAGGGCTGGAACCCACAGAGAAAGTGGGTTTCCACACAGTGCTCATAGCCCAGACAGCTCCCAGAGGGATAGGCCATGCAATAGTACAGTGGGGAGGACGTTTGCCTTGCACACAGCCAACCCAGGTTCAAGCCCCGGCATCCCATATGGTCCCCTGAGCCCACCAGGAGTGATCTTTGAGTGCAGAGCCAGGAGTCAGCCCTGAGTCCTGGATTCCCAAACACCACTGGTGTATCTCCCAAAAAATAAAAGAGGGAGAGGGAGAGAATCAGAGAACAACAACCCTTCTGCCCCAGGACCAAGCAGGACCTCTTCAATACCAACCATATGCCTGAGTCGGCTCAGAGTCCTCCCAGAACAAATTTCCTCACCCACCATATGCCAATGTTGATGCCTGCCTAGTCCAATGCTGATGCCTGCCTAGTCCACGAGAGTTCATGACGTGATAGAAGCCCCCAGTCTGATTTCCCTTCCAAATAGGACCCTGGAAGCCAAGCCCCCCACACCCACTCCCTCTGACCTCTGCTCTCGTCCCGAGCAGCCCAAGGGCAGCGCAAGACTTCAGGGACTTCGGTGGAAAAGTCCCAGCACACAGCAGCCAGCCCAGGAACCTGCCGAAGTGCCCCTAAAGACCCCCACAGGGGGAGTGATGGGAGCAGCCAGGGCAGCAACCCCACCCAGGGACAGGGCAGCAATGCCCTCCCCGCTCGGGGGTCAACACCCACCTGGTGATCCCATTGCCCTGGGAGAGAGCCAGGAAGGCCAGGAGAAGCACAAGGCACCTCATGGTGGCACTGGAGCAGCTCACTGCTGTGACCACTACCTGTGCCCGCGGCTTTTATAGAGGGATCCGAGCCCCTCTGGCCAGGAGCCAGGGTGGCAGAGATGACCTCTGACTCCAGGCCTCTCCACAAAACTATTAAGATAATGCCAGGGCTACCTAACACCCACTCTGATAAGGGTATCAGCCACAGCCAGGGACTTCAAAGCGGAGGGTAATGCATGCCTGGTCCTCAGGCCAGGAAATGTCCCAGGGCCTCCGGTATCTGATGCCCCTGCAAACAGGGCTTGCTGAGCTAACACAGGTGGGGCTGACCAGTGCCTGTGTCGGCTGCCTCCTGACATCAGCCCTTGGGGTGGAGGGAGGGGGAGCAGAACTGGGACAGGGGCCAGCCTGGGCAGGGAAAGGGTCCTCCTGTGTATCACTGAGAGGAGGCCCTCAGGACCTCACTGCACTGGCAGCCCCCCTTAGAGCAGCCTAAGCCCTTCAAGTTTCTCTCAGTCCTGCAGCTTAAACCCTGGTCACTGTTTCCCAGAATGTTGCCCTGTAATTCTGTTAAAATATAAACTCAATGGAACAGACTCCAAGGTCCCTCCCTCCCCTTCGGGTGCTTTCTCAGATGGTGGCTGTGTGACCCTGGTCTCTGAACCGTGCACAAGACAATGGGACAGCCTGGGGTCACAGCCATGGCTGTGACTAATGGCCACAGGGCCCTCTTTGATAACCCAGAGACCCTGCCCTGTAAGTGGGTGGGCTCGGCTTTGGCGTCTTGCTGGCCCCCTTGCCTGGCTGTACGGAACAAGCCTTTCCCTTTGGTCCCAAACTGTGTTCTGTGGGGTGGGCTTCGGGGCATGGAGTGCTGGAGACTTGGTTTCCTTAAGCCCCCCCCTCCCGCAGTGTCTGCCCTGGAACCTGCGCCCCTCCCCCAGAATGCAAAGACACGGTGCCCTCGCCCTTGGTAGCACCAGCCCAGAGCACCAGCTCATCTACAGTCCTCATGGGCCCTTCCTCCCCCAGGCCAGAGAGAGCATTCAGGGAAACAGTAAGGCCATTTCCTATTTTCTTCCCACGGGATATTGATCTCCTAGATCAATCCCCAGAGCCCTGTGGGAGTGGTGATGCTTCTTTCTCACACACTGGTACAAGCATGATGCAGAGCAAGCACCCAGGGAAGGAAGAAAGGAAGGAAAGAAGGAAGGAAGGGAGGGAGGGAGGGAGGAAGGAGGGAGGGAGGGGAGGAGGAGGAAGGAGAGAGGAAAGAAGGAGGGAGGGAGGGAGGGAGGGAGGGAGGGAGGGAGGGAGGGAGGAAAGAAGGAGGAAGGGAGGGAGGGAAGGAAAGAAGGAAGGGAGGGGAGGAGGGAGGGAGGGCACAAGGGAGGGAGGAGGGAAGGAGGGAAGGAAAGAGGAAGGGGAAGGAGGAAAGGGAGGGAGGGAGGGAGGGAGGGAGGGAGGGAGGGAGAGAAGTCGTCTGGCTCTTACAACCATCTTCATTTTGTCATAAAGATGAGGGAGTCAACATGGAAAGTATCATGCTAAGTGAAATGAGTCAGAAAAAGAGGGACAGACATAGAAAGATTGCATTCAACTGGGGAACATAAAGTAACAAAATAGGAGAGTAACACCCAAGAGTGGCCGAGATAAGTACCAGGAGTTTCACTCCATGGCTTGGAGGCCAGCCGGGCATGCTAGGGGAAAAGGCAGCTCAGATAGTGAAGGGAGCACCAAATAAAGGGTGTTGGGAGGATCCTCCCAGGATGGCAGATGCACGCTGAAAGTAGACTATAGACCAAACATGATTGCCACTCAGTGCCTCTCTTGCAAGCCACAGAACCCAAAAGGAGAGAGAGAGAACAAAAGGGAATGCCCTGCCACAGAGGCAGGGTGGGATGGGGGGGGATGGAAGGTGGGAGGGATACTGGGATCAGTGGTGGTGGAAAATGGACACTGGTGGAGGAATGGGTACTTCATCATTGTATAATTGAAACCCAAGCACAAAAACGTGTAAGTCTACAACTGTACCTCATGGTGTTTCACTAATAAATAAGTTTTTAAACCAAATAAAATAATAGTTGAATCAAAAAAAAAGAGAGTCAGAGAAAAATAATTCAGGGCTCAGGAGCACAAGCCTCACATGCAAAGGCCCCTAGTTCAATCCCCAGTACAACATAACCCACCCTGGACCGTGGGTGTAGCCCTGGAGGCCCTTAAACACTGCTGGACCCAAGCAGCCTGGCATTGCCAGACATAAGCACTGGACTACCAGACTCAAGTATCCCAAGAGTGGAAAACCCCACCAGAAAACTAGGAAGACTTGAACTTTCAGGAGACAAATGAACACTTGCTTGCTACAGGGCCCAGCATGCTGGGGGGGTGGGGGTGGGAGCCATCAGCTTAAAACACCAACATGGGGGATGCTCTGCTAGAGCTCGCTTCCTCCATCCCTCGGACACCCCTTGTCAGAGCCACACACGCGGGGCCCCATCGACACTCACTGGGGCTGAGCCCCATCAAAGGCCAGCGCCGCCTCCTCTGCCCCCGAGCCTGGCCAGCAGTGCCCACAGCCAGCAGTGCCCAGGAAGTCAGGCTCAGCCCCTGCACACCTGGAGAGAGGACCCGAGGCTCGGAGCCCAGGATCCCTCTGTGCCGGCTGCAGTGTTTGTTCTCCAGACTGGGATCGCTCTGACATTCAGGTTGCGTCCAAGTGCGCACTACGGGCCGCATGGATTTTTCCGAGCTCTCGCTGCTTATGCCCAGGGCCGGCCAAGAGCAGTACAAACCCTTCAGAAAGTCAAGATAAGATTCCATCGCAGGTTCTCCCATGCCAGGTGGGGACAACCCTCCTTGGTCTGAAAGGGGACAAAAGTGACTCCAGCACCCTGGCATCACCCATCACCCCTGGCATGAGCTGGCATCACCCCATTCCAGCTCCATGGGCTGATCCAACTTCTCCTCGGCAGCCCACCATGGGGTGGCTGATGGGACTGGGTTCCTAAGGGGTGGAACTCAAAGGGACAGACCACCAGCCCCCAAGATGCAGGGAGACAGGACAGGGGACACAGCTTCCAGAAGGTTCCCATGTCCCACTCCTGGGCTTGTGTGCTGGGTCTGCTGCACGGTGTAGGGATTTGGGGCAAGTCTGCTGGCTTCTGGGTGCCAAGGCTCCCACTTCAGTGAAAACGACCATACTGAGAGGGTCACGGGAGGGCCCGAGAGGAGGGTCCGGGGCTAACCTGTGCCAGGAGTCGCAGGACTGCTGTGGGGCCTTGAACCCGCTCAAGCAGGTGGGCAGGGTTCCTCCATTCCTCGGCTTTGTATATGGCACCAGTTCCCTTCCTGTTCTAGAGCCAACCGCATCTCCAGCTAAGGCTCCTCAAATCCACAGAAGTGCTTTGGCACTTGACTCCAGCAGCCCGCGCTGCAGCTGCTGCCCTGCTGACTCTTTTGTGCCCCCCCCCCCCCCGCCTTCATCTCTCCAGAACCTATCAGAGTTCTGGAAGGCATCTTGGCCATCCACACTGACAAATCACACAGCACCTCCCTCCTCTCTGATCTGGTCCACCTCCCGCTCCCCCTTCCCCCCAACACCCATCCTCAATCCAGACCGGCTGCAGGACGCAGATCCCAGTTTCTGCCACCTGGCCCCTGCTGTGTTTCTTCCTTGTACCTCCTCCAAGGACCCCCCGCATTCTCCAGCTCCAATGGATTAGGCTCCAGCCACCAAGTCCAGATCAAGAACTTCTGTGGTCACTGCCCTCTCAGCCCCGCCCATGTCAAAGGAAGGCACAGCGGGCTCTTCCTATGCTCAGGAGAGCTAAGGGACAGGGCAGATGAAGAAATGACTGTAGCTCCATGTGGCGTGGTGCCTGGCAAACATGAGACTGCCATGACTGCAAAAACCCTGGGTCCACCCGTACACACAGAGCACAGACCTGCAGCTCTGCTCCCTGCGGCGCCCACACCCCTGCACTGTATCATCTCGGGGCCCAGATGGGTGTGTGCAAGTGTTCACCCCCTCCATGCCCCCCCACCAGGCACATGCACCCCCCTCACTGCAGTACTGGCAGCCAGGGAAGAGGGCCAGCATGCATCGCAAACTGGCATCTCCAGCGATGACTCAGCCACCCTGAGTGTTGACAGCAGGTGCCGTGCACTTAGTGGTAGACATCGCACATCGACTCCCTTAAAATATCTCCCTTCGCAGCTGAGTAACCGGACTCGAGAACCTAGACTGATGTTCCAAGTGGCTCAGCTAATGAGAAACACCAGGCTGGGCGCTTGCATCTCAGCTGCCCCAGGCGCCTTAACTCTCAGCTCAACCAGCACCAAGAAGTTGTATTTTGCCAGCGGTGTCTACCCCAGCCCATGCCCACACTTGGCAAATCTCAGGCTGAAGAAGATCGAGGGGCCTGGGGGTTCTTTAATGCCAAACAGAGATAAAAACTGACTAGCTAAGTGAGACCCCAGGAGGGTGGAGTTCTTGAAAATATATGAGGAGGAGATGAAGAGATCGTACAGCGGGAAGGGCACTCACCTTGCAGGCACCCGCCTGCGTTCAATCCCCAGCATCCCAGAGAGAATCCCCTGAGCACCCCTAGGAGTGATTCCTGAGTGCAGAGCTAGGAGTCAGCCATGAACACCACCAGGCATGGTCCCAAAAGACAAAAGCAAAAGGAAGAAAAGGAAATGCATGAGGAGTCTGTTCTGCACATTGGAAAAGCCCCCTCCCCTCTTGTTCAGCCCCCACAAGGTTTCCTGAGAGGTACAGGCCAACCTGTCCTCCCTCCAGCCATGGACAGCAGAACTTCGGAGTGAACTGCCCCAAACCTCCAACCTTACATGTCCTTTGTTTTGTGTCAGGATCTGAGCGGGAGAAACCTCTTCCCGTTGCATCAAGGAACCTCCAGAAGGGTGGGGTTGAGGGACACCTGGGTGGGGCTGGGACCACCAAGACACGAGGAGCACAGTGTCAGTTATGGGAAGCGTCAGCTGAGCTTCCCATGGGGCAG